ATGAGGCTACTCCGGGGTAGACTTACAGTCTTGGAAACCCACAGGGAGACGATGAGGCTACTCCAGGGTAGACTGACAGCCTGGGAAACCCACAGTGAGACGATGAGGCTACTCCAGGGTAGACTTACAGTCTGGGAAACCCACGGGGAGAAGATGCAGCTACTCCGGGGTAGACTTACAGTCTGGGAAACCCACAGGGAGACGATGAGACTACTCTAGGGTAGACTGACAGCCTGGGAAACCCATAGGGAGAAGATGCGGCTACTCCAGGGTAGACTGACAGCCTGGGAAACCCACAGGGAGATGATGAGGCTACTCCGGGGTAGACTTACAGTCTGAGAAACCCACAGGGAGAAGATGCGGCTACTCCAGGGTAGACTTACAGTCTTGGAAACCCACAGGGAGAAGATGAGGCTACTCTGGGGTAGACTTACAGTCTTGGAAACCCACAGGGAGACGATGAGGCTACTCCAGGGTAGATTTACAGTCTTGGAAACCCACAGGGGCAGTTCTACCCTGTCCTCTAGCGTTGCTGTGAGTTGGAATCACTGGATGGCACTGAGGCTTCTTGGTGGCCTTTTTGTGGCATGTGCCCCTCCTCTCCCATCTCTGCTTGCTTGTTTAATCTTTTTTGGATCTCAGAGGAGAGAGACTCAAGGCATATCCTATACTAACTCTTCCTCATCCATTAACCCAAATACCGGTGGTTCGAAGCCACCCAGTGGCTCGAGGGAGCAAGACCTGGCAACCTGCTTCTACAGGAACTACACCGCGGAACAGGTTACTCTGTTCTAAGGGGTGGCTCTGAGACCAAAAATCAACTCCATGACACCCAGCCCTGCCACTGAACTGCCAGCCTCCAGTGGATAAACCTGGCCCAGACTCTGTACTGTGGGAGCTTTGGGACTGTGGCCGAAATGCTGGGAAGGAGCCAGCCGTTGTTCGCTGTGTCCACATTTGTGGACCTGGATGATCCGAGGACCCCGGCAGCCTCCCTTCCTTATTAGGAGTGAACTTGTGTGGTCACATTTCTTGGTGTGCCTCTCATATAGTATACTACTCTGACCTGCCCAGATCAGATTTAACCAACGGAGGCAGGGAACTGAGCCACCTGGCCAGGGCAGGGTGCAGATGGAAAAGGCATTCTAAGGGCAGACTGAACTGAGTGGAACAAGGGATTAACTAGATTATCAGAGTGGCTCTAAGAGGGGTTAAGATTCACGGCAAATGGAGGTTAGGGGCAGAACATGTGTCCCTTAAGTGTTCAGGCACTTGACAGACCTGCCTTGTGGGAAGGAGCTCCCTGTTGTGGTTGCTGAAGGGAGCTCGATACCACATAAACCCTCATCTCCAGGACCTTTTAGAGCAGTGGTTCTCAACCTTCCGAGCCGCCACCCTTTCAGACAGTTCCTCGTGTGGTGACCCCAACCATACCATGATTCTCGTTGCTACTTCATCACTGTAATTTTGTCACTGTTATGAATCAGGCAGCCCCTGTGAAAGGATCATTCGACCCCCATAGGGGTCGTGCCCCTCAGGTTGACAACCACTGTTTTAGAAGCCATATAAAATGGGCCCAGGGCTCTGCACGGGAGCGTGAGGAGGGAGCCCATCAGGAGGCTGCCTGCTGGAGGAATTGACGTGAAGCGTCCATGCCAACTCCCCACAGAGCAGCCATGTATGAGGAGGTTAGGGGAGGGCGAATAATCCTTTTATTGGTTTCCATTTAAGCTGTCTGTGCCTCCCGGAATGGCCAATGAAGACATAGTGGAGGAAAACTCCAGAGAACTCTCTTGCAAGGTACAGTAGGAACCTTTCTTTACTGACTAATGCAAAAAAAAAAAAAAAAGCTGGCCTCTCTTACTTCTATTACACATTATTAAATGCTTTGGGCTCCACAGATTAAAATGTGAGGGGGGAGAAAAAGTAATAATGTTTGATTAAATAATAATTGCTTCAGAGTGTGGTCTTATACCTTACAGCGAGAGGACATCCTTGTGATGCCGAAGCAGGAGGAAAATCATTACCTGGAATGCCAAAAGGGAGCAGACGCTGGCCGCGTTCACCTGTCTCAGCCGAAGATGCCCACCCCACGTGATGCACATCTTCAGAACCGACCAAAAGTAAGGAATTAATGCCCCCAGCCCGCACGGGCAGCACACCTCACAGGACTATTAATTATATCGCCTCCTTGGGTTTTTATTAGCACATTTATTCTAACCAGAATGAAAATCACAGCTGCATTTCACGCCACTCTGAAAATAAATTACTTTTCGGAGGCCGCGCTGCGTCCCAATCACATTGCATGCTGGTGGCCTTCTTACCGTGGGACCAAACAGCCACCGGCACCGCGGTCGTGCACTTCCAACTGCGAGATATCTGTTGGTTGGTTTGTTTTTAAAATAATGTAAACATGTTTTACCCGAAGTGTCAGGCAGTAGTGTCCCAAAGGGTGGATAATTATTTTAAAGAAAGCCCTGTGATGGCAAAGTCTAATGTTAAAAAGCACCCGCCTTCCAGACTGAAACTTAGTGTCACTCATAAATGATGCGGTGTGATCTGACTCGCACCCGGGCGTCCCGCTGGGCCTGCCGAGTTCGTGGCTCCGTGCAGAATGCCACGAGGATGGAAGGTCATTTCGGGAACCACAGAAATGCCACTGGGAAAGGTGGGCCGGGATCTTTGTAACGAGGCCTCCAATCAAAACTGCCCGATCGCTTAGTGACCGCACCATCCTAGAAAATAACCCCAAGAAGCTCAGCTGCTGAGCCCTGCGCCCCAGTTCCCCTACCCCTGAGAGCCCTGTCTTCCTCCCTAGAAGGCAACTTCTGCAAAATTAGCTGAGAGACCAGCAAACAGGAGCTGGGGTAGGGGGTGGGGAGTTGAGGAGAGAGAGAATCTGGTGGGTGGGTGGGTGTTTCCAGTTTTCTTCCAGAAATATTTTAATAAAGATTGGCCACGCCAACAATACTCACTTCATACCCATCCTCCAAAGAGAACCAGAACAAAATAAAAAATATATCACGTGCCTGTGATTGAAAGGGGAAAACAAAAATTAGCGCATTAGGCACAGCCAATGAGAGCTGCAGTCTTTCCGGAGCCAGGGGCCGCACAGGCAGTGAGAGGTGAGACTGTTCCAGAGCCGTGGAGCCACGGGGTCTGCAGGCTAGACGTGGAAGGGCGCTCGGGAATCCCCTGAACACGCGGAGCCCCGGGAAACGAACCTAGAGGTTTTACGTATAGTATGGTTTTTTAAACAATTGCAGAGAATGAAGTCAAAGAGACATAGAAGGCACAACCATTTGGCTGGGGTGGAGAGGTGTGCGTGCGTGCGTGCGTGTGTGTTTTCAGACTTGGGGTTTTATTTTTATTTTTTAACAGATAGAAATTAAACACAGAACATGAACAGTTCAAGAAAAGCCTACTGGTTGCACTCTGCAGATTTATCCTCTCCCGATTTTAATTTCAATGGTAAAAACAACAGGTTTTTGATAGTGTTTTGTTGGTAGCAAAGAAAAACCCTGTAATACTTTTAATTCCATCTCTAAACATACCAACCAAGAATTGAATTGTCAATTTTTTTCAATGGTAATTTCTATGCACCAAAAGGTAATCAGGACTCTCAAAAGAAGAAATAAGTTTAGTTTTTCTTGCCTTTGGAATGTTTTATCAAGGACATTAGACCTCTACTCAAGTCCTTCGCCAATGCAAGAACGCTGTGTTCTAATGACCTTCCCAACACCATCTCTGAAGTCATAATGGGTGCATAAGCAAATGTGGTGACGAAAGCTGATGGTGCCCAACTATCAAATGACATGGTGTCTGGAGTCTTAAAGGTTTGAAGGTAAACAAGCAGCCATCTAGCAGGGAAGCAACAAAGCCCACGTGGAAGAAGCACACCAGTCTGCGTGGTCTTGAGGTGTCGATGGGATCAGGTGTCAGGCATCAGAAGACCCAAAACAAACAATCATATCGATGGGAACAAGAGGGATGGGAGTGGAGACCCAAAGCCCATCTATAGACAAGAGGCCATCCCCTCACAGAAGGGTTGCAAGGAAGGGACGAGCCAGCCATGGTGCAGTATAGCACCAATGAAACACACAACATTCCAAGTTCTTTAATGCTCCCCCCTGTCATGACTCCAGTCCTATTTGACAAATCCGACTAAACTGGAGCATGTGCACTGGTCCAGAAAGAGCTCTCGCCACACATGATGCAGGACAGATAAACCCCTAAGGAACAAAAATGGGAGTAGCAATACCATGAGGATAAGAGGGAGAAAGGGAGCACTAATCAGATCACAGTGATTGACGTACAACAACCCTTCCCCAAGAGGGACAGACAACAGAAATGTTGGTGAAAGGAGACAGAAGATGGTGTAAAATAGGAAAACAATAATAATTTATCAAGGGGTCATGAAGGTAGGGAGAAGGAGGGAAAAAGAAGAGCTGATACCAAGGGCTCAAGTAGAAAGAAAATGTTTTGAAAATGATGATGGCAACATATGTACAAATGTGCTTGATAACAATAGTTGTATGGCTTTTTATAAGAGTTATAAGAGCCCCCAATAAAATGATTGATCTTTTTAAAAAAGTTTTATCAAATCCTGTATTTCTGACAGGCTTTTAAAACACATTAAAAAGTAAGAAATATTCCAATGAATGAAACATACCAAATGTCAGTAATAAGCAAGACACATACCTTTGTGGAAATAGCTGTTTAAACAAAGAAACAAAAAATCCCATCTGCATATGCAAGAAAACCCAGTCTTTTTAAAATTTCTTCTTTAAAATCCATTTTCCTAAAATATCATCTCACACAATGGAAAGTGACGAACAGGAGAGGAAAAGGGACCCACACCAGGAACACATAAAGGAGTAAAAAGTGTACAAACAGAAGCAGTGTATCACAGACTAGAGAGGGTCAAAGCCCAAGATACCAAAGGCTGGTTGAAAAAAATTACTTTTCTGCAGGAACTAGGGTTTGTACTGCCGCGTGCCAACCAGTGAAGAGGTGTTCACTGCTGTGGAGCAATGCCCTTCCCACTCTGAATCCTGGCTTCTGCACCCTGCCTCTGCAGGGAGGGCCTCTCCTTGCACCGCCCAGCCCACCCTGAGGGCCCTCCAGGTAGCTGGCAGGCGGTTGTCTCAACAGTCTCCTTCCCTGGCAGCTCAGTCTTCTCTTCTACATTCAGGCGGACTTCGCCTCTGAACATGATGGGTATGTTGCTAAGAACCTTCTGAACTGGTTCAGAGTCATCAAACACAACAAGAACAAAATGAGATGATAGCCCACCGCTATCGATGCACAGTTCCACCACGTTCCCATACGTTAGAAAGAAATCTGTAAGCTCTGATTTGGCCTCTCCTGAGGCAGGATGCCAGTGAAGAGTTGGTGACTGTCAGGCTGTCTGTCTCACGGTTCTTCGAGCATCACAAATCGGTCTAGAGCCCCTCTGCAGAGGAATCTGTAGTCCTTGTTCTTGAACTCTTTGCTCCCTCTGAGGCCTCTGCCGTGGAATCTGCGATTCAGGCTTAGACTCAGGACTAAGCTACGGGCTGTGAAGCTAGGACTTTGACAACATGAGATGAGATCCCAGTAACTAGAACAGCTCCACTGGGTGGAAATTCTTACTGGTCACAGATGCCCAAGAAAATCTCGGCCAGTCTTCCTGCACCGTTGAGCCACGTCTGCAGGGCCTGGGGAAGAACTCTTCTGAGCATCCTCGGGTGCGAGTTCTAAGGCAGGCTCAGATTCTTTCTCCTGGATTTCAGGTACGGGCTCCTGCTCTGGTTCTGGTTCCGGATCAGGCTCTGGTTCAGCAACCAGTTCCTCTCAATGTTCTCCTAAGTCATTGCTGACAGTCTGATCGTGGAATGTTCCAGCATCATCAGGTACCACCTCCGGTGTCGGCTGTCTTTCTTAGGGCTCCTCTACTTCTTCCTCAGATTCCTCTGGAGACCCAGTGACCAGGCCACCAAAGACATCATCTGGGTATCTGCAGATGGCTTTGTGACCATAGAACGTATTTACAACCGAGCCCTCAGGAGCAAGAGCACATGTCTGCACAAATCTCCTCAAAGCCTGGTTGTTACTAGAGAGCAGCCCCTTCACCATCATTGAGAGTAGCGTGAGCATCAACGTGGCGAATCGTAGTGTGGCAAGTGTTAACATTTTGAGACAAAGCTTTCCTATGGATTTCCTTTGGTCCATAGATAGCACATGCTGATTTCCATTTGAATCCAAGTCTCCTTGGACATAAGAATTCTTTCCATAAAATCTGTGCGGCATGTCTGGGGCTTGGTTCAACAGTGTATGATATGTCTCACAAATTCCCACCCGACCAGCAGGGAACTGGGCTTCTCTGTAACCACTGCTTGGGTCAGTTCATTCTGCATGGCTGAGCGGGAGAGAAACAGGTTTTGCTCCACAGCAAGGCTGATGGCAGAAAGCCCTAAGGCAACTGCATCCACGCACTTTCCCTTCCATCTTAGTGGTCCTTACACAGAACACAGTGGTGGGTCACAGCGGGAGGTGTACTGCTGAGAAGCCTCCCTTTGCATAAAATAGAAATTACAAAGAAATGACAAGTTACTCTTCTATAACACCCCCAAGTTCTGTCCCTTTTAAGCATTCCTTGCACACCTTTTGCCATAGACTTGCCAAGAGTTGACCTCCGCTGCTGGTAATCTGGGCTGATGGCTGCCATTATGGTTTTCAGAAGGGGGGTCTCGGGGAGACTTCAGCTTATTATTTGAAAGCCTGGTGTTTTGATTGATGTGTTTGAAGTCCCAGTTACATAATATAAGGCCTTTGTTGTTGTTAACTATCCCGCGTCAACCATGACTCATGGCGGCCCATATAGGCTAGAGCAGAACTGCCCAGTAGGGTTCTCTTGGCAGTTCACTGAAGGCTCTGGATGATTCGAACCACCAACATTTAGGTCAGCAACCTAATGCCTGTATCTCTCAAACTATTTTTCAAGCATTGTTTTAAGGTAAAGATTTCTAAAAAACACCGCTATCATTCCTTTAGTTTACCAAACAGAAAACATCAACGGCTATCAGTTGAGGTTGCGTTTATCAGGTGACAGGGAAAGGGGAAAATGGTGTCTCCTGCCTGGTGCAGAGGACAGATTTGGGATTTCTGGAACTGAGTTGGAGTTGCTCCTCCACCACTGTAGGCAGTTACTTGGCATCTGTAAATGTCCGTTTTACAAGTATTGTTATAAATATACATATAGGACATGACATTTTCCATGTGTACAATTCAGTGAATTGAATGAGAGCAAATTAAAAAGTAATGTTTCCAGGATTCCAAGAAGCCCAGGTAGCCTAGTGGGTTACATGCATTGGGCTGCTACCCTCCAAGTCGGCAGTTTGAACCCACCAGCCACTCTGCGGGAGAAAGATGAGGCTTTCAGCTCCCATAAGTATTTGCCACCTGGGAGATCCAAAAGGGCTGTCTATTCTGTAGGAAGACTGTCAGTCACATTGACTTGATGGCAGTGGGTGCATACCAACATTCCAGTTGATACATGCGTGGCCTTATTTCTGACATATTTAAACATGTGTCTCTGCAGACGAGTTCTCTCAGCAATACCCTGGTCTGAGTCTCGTTTGGATGCTTTCACACAAAAGAATACTTTTTGTTGTTTGGGGAAGGTGGTTGTTTTTTTTTTTTTGAGTTCAGGACAAATATCAAATCTGTAACGAAATTCAAGAGGTTATCTTCCCAAATCATTGCAGCTTTACAACAAGTGTACTATTTTTAAATCCTATTTGTCCACAAACTTTCTGACGCTCCCTCATATTTTATAAGCAGTGAATTGTATACTCTAAGTGGGGTGATTTTTATGGTATATGAATTATATCTCAATAAAGATATTTTTAGAGTTAAAGGAAAAGGTATAGCATGTGAACAATAAATATTAGGTATTTTTATTACTACCCATATATATTTTAGCAATTATAGTCATATTGGGAAGAGCTTTGAGATCCATTAACTATACCTAGCAGATATCCAGGAGGGTGTGGACTGAGTTATACTGATCCATCATGGGAAGACCTAAGTAACCAGCTCCTCTCACCTTTTACTGGCCAGGCCAGGCTACCAGGCTAATGAGCAGCTCTCGATTCTTGCTACCATTGAGTCAATGCTGACTCATGGGAACCCCCTATGGGTTTCCTAGATTGTATATGCTGACGGGAGTCGAAAGCCCCAGTCTGTCTCCCAAGTTGCTGTTGGTGGTTTTCACCCTGCGGGCCGCAGACCAACTCATAACCGCTCCACTGGCAGGACTCCTTTCATGAGCAGCGGGGCCAGGATATGTAGACGTGAAGGCAGAGAAGGAAAACTGTAACTGAGTGACACAATTCTCTGATCCCTGCCCTTCCTGATTTTGCTCAGATCTATAATTCCTTCTGGAATTTTTGTGCTTGGTGTGAGGTAGACCCCTAGCTTTAATTTTTCCCCAAGTGGATAACGTATTCCCCTGTTCCTAATGTATCCACTTATTGGCCTTCTTTCTCTTCGAATGAGTAAATTAGAAAAAAACTAAAAGTCTCTCAGACACACATAAAATATATTATATAAATAATAATGTAGCAAACAACCTTAAAATCCTTTTCTTTAATTCCTACATGACTCGTTTATTTAGGGAAAAGTACTAACCAGCCCCTACTGGAATGTCTTTGTCACCCTGAGTTCTCGGCTTCCCAGGGCCACCAGGACAGAACACCACCAAGAGGGTAGTGTGACAGAAGAGAGGTGGGCTCTCTCGTCGTTCTGATGGCTGCAGGTACAGCAGCAGAGCCATTCTCTGTCTGCTCACGGGAAAGAGCCTCCCTTCGTTCCGGTCGCCCAGGCGTGGCTTGGCACTCCCTGACTCGGAAACGCACTCTCACGTGGTTCTTCCCCTTGTGTGGCTCTGTTTCTGCCGCGTCTCCTTTTATAAAACACTAATCATGTAAGATTAGGCGTCTAGCTGCACTGGTGTGCCCTTGTTAGTGTCACTGATAATGCTGTCCAAAAAAGACGCTACTTCCCCAAACACGGTCACACTCACAGGCGCAAGGGTTAGAACGTCAGCATATCTCTTCAGCATAGATCACATTCCATCCATAACACTTGGTAACTTAATATCATAAGCCACCATCAGCTATTGCTGTCTTGATGTGAGTATGCCCACTTACCTAATTTGGAGAGTAGGAGCCCTGGTGGCCTAGTAGGTTAGACATTGGACTGTTAACTGCAAGGTTAGCCATTCGAAACCACAAGCCACCCCTCAGGAGAAAAATGGCATTCTCTGCTCCCCTAAAAAGTTTCAGCCTCAGACACCCACAGGAGTAGTTCTACCCTGTCTTATAGGGTCGCTGGGAACCAGAATCGACTGCACAGCAGTGAGTGTGATTTTGGTTACCCTGAGGGAAGGTGGCACGCTTCCACAGGTGCATTTGGGCTGGGCAAGCTCGTGAGATCCGGGAAAGGCCCTGAGCGAAGGCCCTGCAGGTGGACGCAACTCTGTGGACCGCCATCCACAAAGGTGTGATCTGGAGGCCCCAGCGTGGCCAGGGAGCACTCACGGGAATAGGTGTGTTAACTGCCCCTGAAGGGACAGGTCATTGGAGGAAATGAAGGGACACCAACATCTGGCCCTGCTTAGTCCACAGGCCTGCTAGCGTGGACGTGTTTTAAGTTGCAGCTCCAAGCACTCTCTCCCCCGGGACTTGCTGACGATGGTGGTAGCTGCATAAGCCTTTCGTTTCTTTCAGACCAAGACGACCCACTGCTTTCAATGAGGAAGGGTCACTCTTGGCATGCACTCTCTCCCCTAACCCACCCACAGGCAATTGGCTTGGTGGCTGGAGAGTATGGGGTTCACTTTGCTCATTAACTTAGAATTATTGCCGAATAAACATTCAGGTTAAATAGAAAACCCAGACCAGGCATGGGAGGCAGTGTTGCTTTCAAATTAAAGAGGGCACTCTGTTAAGTAGTAATCGTGAAATAGATTTTATATTTGTGAATTAGACTTTTGTGGGACCCCATTAGCTCCTTTCGTTGCGAAAGGCAGGGACCTAAATCTCAGCATGTTCTCCTTTCCCACTCGTAACGAGGACCACGACGCTGTCCTCCGGCTTTAATCCTGGTCACAGTTTCCAGAAAAATTCCCCCTCTGAAATGGAAGGAGAGCAGAAATCACTGCTTTCAGGTAGACTGAGCACTGTGAAAGAGAACAAATGTAAAACTGTTGTTGTACTGTGGCGGTTTAAAAAAACAAAAAGACCGGGCAATGAATGTACAAATGCGCTTTACACAATTGATGTGTGTATGGATTGTGATAAGAGTTGTATGAGCCCCTAATAAAATGATTTAAAAAAAAAAGAATTGGGAAGAAAACTGCTGGATAGGCAAAAATAAAAAATAAAACAAACAAAAAAAAGAAAGCCAGGGCTCAAGTAAAAAAATGTTTTGAGAATGATGATGGCTACAAATGTACAAATGTGCTTGACACAATGTATGTATGTATTGTGATAAGAGCTGTATGAGCCCCCAATAAAATGATTTTTTTAAATGCCCAAAAAACCCACAAAAAGACCATGGTAGGGATGTTGATCGGTGACCGTTACTGCTGCCTTTTCGTGGCTAGGACACGTGCCTTCTCCCTTGATGATGCGTTGCTTATTTGTTCAATGGTGAGCTTTGCATTTTTATAGGATGGTGTCAAAGAGGACTCTGGTGACAGAGTACGTCCCAGAGTGAATAATAATCCCAGCACCCGGTCAGCACACTTCCTTCACAGCCCTCTTTCCTTCTGCCCCTAAGGATCCAAGCCACTCTCCGAAGCCTGCTGACCGAAGTGCCCCTCACGCCGTGGTTCTTCATGACTTCCCAGCAGGTACGGCCGTACATAACCAGGAGCAGGCAGCATCCCCACGTCTACCTCTGAAGGCCATCTCTCTTCATGCCTGTGCCTACAGAGAAATCACGTTACCCACCCCTCAGACTTCCAGAAGGGTTGATTACACCCCGCATTCCAGAGAGCTTAGCAGCGGGCCCTTGCCTTTGACATGCTTAGAGCCGAGAGAATGGTTGCCCTTGCAAAGAAAGAAACTGCCCACTAGTTACAGTTACAGAGTTGGAAGAGTTTTCACTCTTCCAAAACTCACCTCACTGCCATCAAGCCGATTCGGACACTATGGGGCAGAGTGGAACTGCCACTCCGGGTTTCGTAGCACGCTCCCTCCTTCTCCCGTTAGACGCTGGTGCTTTCCGACTACTGACCTGGTAGTTAGCAACCTAGTGGACCGCCAAGGTCCTTTCAAAGTGTCAATTAATGAGCTACGTTGAAATTTATTCTAATTTAATAAGTTCTTGTATACTAAGAATTGCAGAGCCTGCATACATTATCTCGGCTACTCCCTCTGAGATCACAGAGTCTTGGTGGTGGTATGTGTTATGCACTGGGCTGCTACCTGCAAGGTCAGCTGTTTGAGCCCACCAGCCGCTCTGCTCTGCAGGAGAAAGATGAGGCTTTCTGCTCCCATCAAGATGTACAGCCTCAACCCATAAGGCAGGGCAGTGCTGCTCTGTCGTATGGTGTCAAATGAGTCGGAATGGACTCTGGCAGTGAGCTTTTCCTATCTACGAAATCAAAGTATAAACTTATTTTGTCATCATTAACTTAGATCAATAAGCTCCTGAGTTATTTACCATTTTCTTTTTTTTTTTTAAAAACTACTTGCTAGACTGATGTTTATTTGAGTGTGAGTCCATTGTCCTATGTACTCCCTCGGTTGTTATTTCCAAGTTGAAATGATGTCCAAGCATAACGGAGAACCTGATGGGAAGAGTACACTATGTTTGGAAAGCCTCTGAAGTGCTCAATGTGATTCCATGTAACTAGCGGCAGGGGGGATCTGTGGAGGCCGTAGGAATCATTGGCCAGCCCCGTGTTTTTATTCCTAACCTCTCTCGTGAGTCCATGCAGAGAAAATAGACTGAAGATGGTCTTTGTAAAAAGGAGCTCATCACAATCGTCCCCAAAAGAAATGGCATTGGGTAAAAATCTATTTGGGTCATAGGGTCTTTTCTCGGAATCAGCTGAGTCCTGTGCCTCAGTGGACAGGCCCACATGCTGGATGCTTGTGGTCCTCCAGGATCGTCGTTTATATTACAGAGCAAGCGGATGACTTGAACCTCATTTCTGGAGAAATCGTTTACCTTCTGGACAAAGTAGATGCAGATTGGTACAGAGGGAGATGTAGAAACCAGACCGGTCTGTTTCCTGCCAACTACGTCAAAGTGATTGTGAGTGCTTTTCGTCGGGATGGGTTTTCGCCTCCGTGCAGGAGAGTCTGTGGGAGAAACGAGAGAGCTGGGTGCTTGCATTCCAGTTCTCGCTTTCATTTACCTATTTGGTGTTAGGAAAATTTTTAAAGCATAATGGCTTATTCATATAGGCTGATTATTGTCGTATCATGGGGTATGAGACCTTAATGCCGAAATGCTGTCTGAAATCCGAAAAGGAACCACCACCGCCGGGTGAACTGATAGAGCAACTATTCTTGCAGGGGTTTCATGCTCTGACAGATCGATTTTAATGCTTATAGATATTTAGGGAAAGCTCATTCACTGGTTCTAACTTGTCCTTAACGCGATGGGTTCCAATGGTCAGATCCTCAACTGATCATGGGGTGATGTAGGGTCAGCGACGTTCCCTTCCATTGTGCAGGGTCACCAGCAGGGGGGCTGACTCGGCAACAGCTCACAACACAAACTGTCCTCTGTGAGACACTGAGGCGTGGCTCGCTTGTCACTGGTTTTACACTGCACTTTGTCTATGGGTTCTTTCACCCTCCAAACACATATCTTTTTGGAAATACTGAAGTGCTGTGACCGGGGCTGATGTGTTGTTAGGTGCCGGCTAGTCCGTGCAGGCTCAGAGCCACCGTGAGCACAACAGAAGGACACCCTGCCCAGCCCTGGGCCACCCTTGCCACCGGGGTCCGGGTTGAGCCCATTGTTGCAGCCACTGTGTCGATCCAGCTCATCGGGGGCTTCCTCTTACTGGTGGTCCATGCCTGATTTTTCACAAAATAATTTTAAATCGGAGTGGGGAAGATTATACTAAAGGATCACAGTTGAATACCCTTCCCACCTAACTTGTGGCAGCAGACCAGTGTAAAGGCTCCGTCAGTGCTAAGCCGAGGTGGCTCTGAAGCTTCGGAATACAATCAGACTGCCACTTGAACATTTATATCCACAGAAAGAGTGTCTCAGTCCCTGATATTACTTAATGATACTGGAAAATGTCAGTAAAAGCCAGCTTAAATAGTTGAACTGAATAGCTTATTTGGGAGAAAAAGCAAATCATCTGCTATTACATCAGAAACTCAGAAAACACGTATAGTAGTAGAACTTCTATTTTTCAAATACAAATGTATTTGAGTCTCTTAGATTACCCCTAAATAAGTAAATAAATAAATGTGCCTCTTAAAAAACTGCTCAGTCCATGCATGCCCTGATTCTCTGGAGAAATCCAACCACACTCTTTAAATTAATATTAAGAATAATGTTAGTTTTAGTACTCCTTCTCATTTTTCTTCTGCCCAATGTAGCAGTACTTTCTAAAGCACAATTACCACAGTGGAATCAATCATGCTGCATTTGCCACATTATTGGTCTAAGGGTTATTTCTTAGCCCACAAGTTTAAAAATTTGGGACTTTTAGAATTCATCAAGAAGGCCCTGATTGGTTTAATATAAACCCCAAAGCCTTAAGTAGTTTTCAGACTGCGTGCATCGTGGCCAAATATTTTATAGAACCCAGCTCTGCTGAACCTGCTAAGTGAGATATTACATAAAGTGCTTGCCCCTCAGTAGATGCCCAGTAAGCATTTCTTCTCTATTCACATCAAATGAAAAAATAATAACAATAGGTATGTCAGAGTCATGCATCCCAGAGTGAGGATATGGAAAGAATCCACAAGTTTGATTAAAATGTTTTATTTGGGGTCAGGGAAGTACTGCAGAATTCTTCAGGTACTTGAGTAGCTATGAGAGGGTACCGATGTCTGATGGCACAGGTGCCCAAGCTGTGAGATGGGGCAAACTCAGTCAGGGAGGGAGTGATATTGATATACTTGTTCCAGCAAATAACAGAAGGACTGGAGGCAATAGCACAAGTCACTTTTTTCTCCCCCAAAACAAAAGTCAATCAAACAAAAAAATTAACAAAATTCAAAGTAAGACCACCGTCATTTGGTTAACACCTAGCGAAACTGGTGGGTGTCAGTGATGCACTTCCTGTTAAACCAGTTGACCTCACATCAACTCCAACTCCTGGCCACTTTGTGTGCCAGAGCAGAACTGCGCCCCATTGGGCTCCCCACAGCTGATTGGGGTGTGGAGCAACAGGCCCACCGAGGTGCCTCGGGCAGACTCAAACCACCAGCCTTGAGGTTAGCAGTTGAGCACGTTAACTAACCGTTTATACCATCTTCATACTTAACATTGAAATATCACAGTAAACTCCAAAGAAAGGAAAAAACAAACCAATTGTTTCTTTGGTTTTGTCTTTCCTAGATTGATATTCCGGAAGGAAGAAATGGGAACAGAGGATCGGTTTCATCTCATGGTGTTAAGTAAGTTGTGTGTGTGTGTGTGTGTGACTTTTTCCCCCTGACATAATATGAAAGGGCTCAAGTAGAGGCAGGATGTTTTGATAATGATGAGGGCAGCAGATGTACAAATGTGCTTGACACAATGGATGGATGGATGGATGGATGGATGGATGGATGGATGGATGGATGGATGGAGATATGAGTTGTATGAGCCCCCAATACAATGATTTTAAAAATATATGAAGTGGCAAGTATCTTGGTTATCTAGTGCTCTGTTAGAGAAATCACCAAAGTGGGTGGCTTAGCAAACAAAAGTTGATTCCCTCTCAGTGGAGGAGGCTAGAAGTCTGAATTCAGGGTGCCAGCTCTGGGCAGGCCCTCTGCTGGCTGTGGAGGAAGGTCCTTTTCTTTGAGCCTCCAAGCCTGGGCCACTCCCACCTGGCTTGGCATCTCTTCCGTGTGTGTGTGTGTGTGTGTGTGTGTGTGTGTGTGTGTGTGTGTGTGTGTGTGT